GTCCCTTTGCCATTATCCTGTCTGCACTCCCCCACCCCCTTTCTTTAGATAAGTAAACTACGTGATCTATTCAAATGGTGTCTTGTGTCTGGGCTTTCTATGAACCCATACCTATTACTATCCTTTGTCATTAAAACAGCCATGCAGCTCTCTACTGCACTAACTAAACCATGGTACCAGGCAGTGCTTTTCAGAAAGTGTGGTTTGGGAGCCTCTGAGGTCTCAGGAAGCGCCCTGGAGCTAGGAATGCAGAGTACATACCAGTTGGTAGTACCCCTCTGGAGACAGAATATCAAGTGACTGCCCCTGAAAGCACAGCCCCGGGCCTATGAGGGACCATGCTGGTCCTCCAGTCTTCACTCTAGCCTTACCTCTGGTAAGATGAACTGCTCCACAGGCTTATACCACAGCTTGTTCACCTGCACACCACAGCTCGGAGGACTAAAGCGAGCAATGAAGAGGGCCTCCTACAAATGGGGAGAGGGGACCGAAAGAAACACTTCATGTGGACACAGCATATGCAACTAGTTTTCAAAACAGCTTACATCTTGGTCAGCTAAATCCTCAGGGGTCCCAACCATGGTTACTGACACCTTTGTGCTGTGGTTTAGGTATCATTTGGGTTTTCCAGTGCAACCATGGCTATTAAATAAAGGTATTTAAGGTAACCAAAGTTGTAATGACGTTCTAAACCACTAAATATAATCCATATAACCTTAAAAAAAAAACCCACCTTGAAATGAGGAAAATTAGGGGAAGTGTGAGGTGTTGTTAAATTAAGCCAGCTTACTAGGTTTAACCCCAAAGGGTTAAAAATAAACTGAAACATGGGGATAAAAAAGAGCACTATTTCACATTAAGTCTGTTGTTTTCTTGGGTCCTTCTCAGTTTGCTTTAGGCAAGAACATTTCCTTATTGTCTCATGCCTACTCTTATAGACCAGCCTACACATGGGAAACTTCTGTTAAAACTATCAAGACCACGCAGAAGTTCAGAATTGGGGGGGATGGGCTCTTAGTGAATTATGTGTATTTCTTTCATTAACACCAGTTCTTGGCAACACGGTGGTATTAATAATACTTTTTGCATTGTGACTACCTGTGAACCCGTTAGCATCTACCTTAGATTAGGACAAAGATTAACTTCTCCTTGGCAAATAAAAGTTAAATCAACATGATCAAAATTTTGTGCATCTGAATCAAATGCATGACTGATAACTCAAACACGAACAGTTAAAAAAAAAGACTACACATACAAGTTCAAGATTAATGCTAATTTCTAGATAAGGATAACAGTGGAATTCTGAATATTGCTCTTTCAGTTACCTATTTGAATTCAGTATTAATGAAACCTTTAACCTCAATAATATGTAAACTCCTGTACTTGAAGAGCTTAATAAAGTTCTTCACACTGTAATCATAATGGTAGCAATCTTCACGAGGACTTGTTCCCTCTCTCATATTTATGTCATTAAGCACATTTACAGACTACACGGATTCTTTGGAGGAAGTGGGACAAAAGGCAAAAAAGAAATTTATTCTTAAATTCATTTGTATATTTATTGGTGATTAGCATTGTATCTGTTAGTAACAATCAATATTAGCAACAATATAAAACATTTTTAAAGATGCCTAAAAAACATGTACACAGTTCTGTTTCCAGTAACATCAGACCAATTTTTCTGCAGATAATTATGAACACTGGACAAAACGTTTAAAAAAATAATCTGAAGGCACTGGAATGCGAACACGGCAGGCAGAAACTGGAGGAAAATCAATACCGCGAAAAAGAGAAAGACAATGAGTATGCTTCCCCCACGCTCTATGGCTCTTTGTGGCATATTCTGAGAGGCAACAAAAAATTGAATTAAAAACCTGCAGTGTTCCTGGCTGCAAAATGAGATAAACAGAGTTGGAACAAACACATCAGCTGAAAAGTGAGGAGGAAAGACCCGGAAAGGAAAAGGTCACTGAGAGAGCGCCTAAATTCTTCATACAAATTCTGCTCAAATCTGTGGCTGACTCATGAAACACACATTCAAAACAGAATCTGAGCAGCCCATATATGTCCAAAAGGACTGAAAGGAGATTTCAGCTGCTGTCCATTATAAGGGAGACAGTTTAAAGTCTGCGTCCAACTAATTTAACTATCTGCTAAAACAAAACAGAACAAAACAAAATACTTTTTCAAGGAACATAATAGGATCCAGAGATCCTACAATGAATTATTCACAATATCTAGGAAACAATCCAAAGTCACTAGATATAAAACAGGAAATGTTATCTATACTCAAGAATAAAAACAATAAAATCAATAAAGACAGATCCCAAGATGACTCAAATATTAGAACAAGCAGTCAGAATTTTAAAGCCATTATTATAACTAAGGTCAGGGCTGTAGGAAAAAACATGCTCAAAAATGAACACAGAAAATTTTAGAGAAACAGAAACTATAAAAGAGTATTAAATGGGAATTCTAGAACTAAAAAGTACAATATCTAAAATTAAAAATTCATTGGCTAGGTGTAACAGATTTGAGATGGCAGAAGAGTTAATGAATTGACTTTGAATACAGATGAATAGAAATTTTGAAACCTGAAAAACAGAGGAAAAAGCTTTTTAAAAAATGAACAGTTTTGGGCCAGCCGAGTGGCTCAGTTGGTTAAGCGCTCGCTCAAGAGTTTGAGCTCTGAGCAACAGGGTCCCCAGTTTGATTCACGGCCCTAGCTGAGCTGCAGCTGAGCTGCCAACCGGTGGCAGGATGGCTCAGCTAAAAAAAAGAACAGCTTTGTGATCTGTGGGACAATTCCAAAAGGTCTGATATACATGCAACTGGTACCCCGAGAATGATTGGAAAGAATGGGACTGGGAAAATTTTTTTGAAGAAATAATAGCTGAAAGTTTCTCCAATTTGATAAGACAAATTTATACATTGAAGAAACCTGACAAACCCTAAGCAGAATAGACAAAGAAAAACCACACCAAGGTACAACACAACCAAATTGCTTAAAACCAAGTATAGAGAGAAAAAAAAGCAACCAGGAAAACAAAACAAAAACCACATTACGTACATTAAACATGAGAACCAAAATATGAAGGATGGTTGACTTCTCACCAGAAACGATGGAGGTCAGAAAACTCTGGAGTGTTATCTTTAACTTATTGAAAAGAAAAAAAGTCAATCCAGAATTTCTATATCCAGAAAATATCTCACAATAAAGGGAGAGGAAAAAAAAAAAAAAGGCAAAATTTAAAAATTTTCAGAAAGATGAAAACTGAGCGAGTTCCTCACTGTAAGAAATGCTAAAGGTTGTTCTTTGGGCTGAAGGAGCTGATATTAGATGGAAACTTGGATATTCAGGAAGGAGCACCAGAAATGGTAAAAATGTGGGCAAATGTAACAGACTATTTTTGTCTAAATTACTTTAATACACACTTAGCTGTTTAAAGCAAAAATGATAACATTGTACTGTGGGATTTATAGCATACATAGATGTAATGCATATAACAAGTAGAGTAAAAAAGATGGGAGATGGTAAATGCAATTATGGAATTGCAAGACACTCATTTTATATGAAGGGGTACAACATTAATTTTTAAGATGATTGAAAAGTTCAGGGTGTATAGTCTAATCCTTATGTCAACTATACACACAAACAATACTGCTGCAAAGAGCTGTAGCTAAAAGGAAACAGAAAAATTATAATGGAATTCTAAAACACATCTAATTAACCCAAAGGAAAGCAGGAAAAGAGGAACAGAGAAATTTTTTAAAAGGTGGAACAAACAAAAAATAGCAAAATGAAAAACTGAAATCCAACCACTTCTATAACTGTGTTGAATGTAAATGGAATAAACACTCCATGTAAAAAGTAGAGATTCTAATTAAAAAAAAAAAAGTAGAGATTCTCAGAATGGATAAAAAGATCCAACTATATGCTCTACACAACAAACAGTTTCCAGCAATATATAAAAAGAATAATACATCATGATCGAGAGGTATAGGAGGCTAGTTTAACACTCTAATGTCAACAAATGTACTTTATCACACTACCAGAACAAATGAGAAAAACCCTGGAAACAGTCCAGGTGCCCATCAATAGGAGAATGGATAAATATCATATATTGCTGGAATACAACTTAGCAATTAAAAGAAGGAAAAGGAAAAATTCACTGATACATACAACAATATGCATGAGTTCAAAAAACGTTATTGAGTGATAGAAGCCTTATACAAGAGAGGACTTACTATACAGATGATTCTATTTACATATGAAGTCCTGCAACAGGTAAAAACCAGTCTACAGTTAAAAAAACAAAAAAGGAAACAGTAGCTGCCTAAATTTAGGGAATGGGGTAGGGTGATAGGAATTTGTGTTACACAGGTTTATGCAGTTTAAAAAACTGACTGAATGCACATTTCACTGTATGTAAAAATAAAAAAAAAAACAACCCACAAATATTAAAGTCTAGTTAATGATATGCATGCTGAAATGTTTAGGGCCGAGGTGTATTCACGCTTGCAACTTACTCAGAAATATATTTTTAAAAAGATAGATTGATGAATGGCTACGTATGTATAAAGCCAATACAATAAAATGTTAACTATTGTACAATTTAGTTTAATATATAGGTGTTCACTGTGTAATTCTTTCAAGAGTTCTGTAGTTGAAAACCCAGGAACAGATCTTTTCTGATACAATTCCTTGCTACACTCTTTCAGACACACTGGGAACAAATGAGATTTCCCCAAATATCAAGAACAGAGTAACCTCGGTTGTTTTAAACTTTTATTCCCTCTTCCCTCTACATCCTTATTACACAAAAGATCTGAAGCAGCTGTTAGACTTGTATTACAGTGATAGACTTTTAGGGTTGGAAGAAAGAGACAATAACACTTGCTTATACCTAAGAATATCACATTTTTGATATTCATTTCCAACTTCTGAAATTCTTTAGGCTTTTAGGGATTTGAGGTTGGGAATTTCGAATGTGGTCCAACTCCTTCTTTTCTAGATATAACACGTTTATTCATTGGTATTGTCTCCCCAAACCAGCACTTACACACTATAATGTAAATGCACCCAATCGATAGGGAAGAAAGGTAAAGTCTCCCAACCTGTGATCCACCATGAGGAAAACGCTGATGCTTTTGAAAAGGAAAAATGGGGAAAGCCTTGTATGAAGCAGTGCATACCTCCTGTTCGGCCTGATAAAGCTTGACGGTGATGTTCCTTTGGAAACCCGCATCACTGGCATCATAGAACACCCCGAGACTGGTAATAACGATCGGGTAGAGAACCTGGAAGCTCACACTGACAACTCGGTCCTCAGAAAGCCCTGATAAGGTGTCTTCAGAAAGATCGAACGCCTCGATTTCCTGATTCAAAACTAAGGAAATAATGAAAAAAGGAGTTTTAAATAATCAATCAAGTATAGTCTTATTTTACTAACATAAAGGTAATGAAGTGGGCTTGATGGCAAAATCTACAATATTTATTTGTTATATAATTCTTTCACAAATTTTAAAATATGCTTCAGAAATATGATTGCTACTAAGAAAAAACAAACTTACTTGGAAATTTAAGAAGTTTTCAGCCACATCTAAGTAAAATATTTATTTAATTGTCAGTAGTACTGTAATAATTTCTGGATACACTTGTGTGCCTATGTACATATAAACACCACAGGGGAATATTAAATTCAAAGGCATCTATTAGGAAAGGTTGGATAAATAAAGGTTGGCTATTAAAAACAACAGTGCTGATTGCAGCCATAAATAATGAATAAATTTAGTCGTGCTCTGCAAATTCCAAAAATTCTACTTCTTCTTGGGTAATTTAAAATATTTGTGATGTCAGGCAATTATCACAGACAAGAATAACTGAAATCACTTCAAACCACACTGAAAATCCCTTGCTATTCAATTCTGATATAAGACAAGCACATCGAATGGTATGCATCTCTGGTACCTACTCTGTGCCATGCCCTCACACATAAGTCTTCACAACTACACTGTGTGGTTGGACCGCTATCTCCAGCTCTCAGACTGAGAAACTGAATCTGGAAGACATGAATTTGCCCAAGGTCACAGAAAGTGGCAGGGCCAGGAACTAAACCCAAGTTTAGTGACTTCAAATTAAGTGCCCTTTTTACTCCCCCGAAGCTGTCTAATCAAGGTCAACAAAAGTCATTTTCAAATAATTTTTCCAATTACCATAAATGACTCAGAATACTTTACATAATGCAGTTAATATGGCTGAGAATATCAGTGCCACTTTGAGAATAAAAAAACCTATTTTAAAAGATTATTATATCAAAGGTCTTTGTATCTTTTAGAGCTATGGTTTTCCAACTTTGCTGATCACACACCCCATCAGTTAAAAACATTTATACACACACTCATATATCTTTACAAAATACATATATTATTGTCAGTCAATACATTCAGTATTAATATTGTATTTTTTTGCTTTCATATACATAAAAATTCTGTTTTCTTCCCACACCCGGAGGATCATTTGGATGCCTGCCTTAGAGTTCCCAGAATACTATTTTACACTTAGTAGATGCTCAGTGAAACGTGACCACTGCCCTTGATGGCTCCTGCCCGATTGTATATGTGAGCAGGAGGGGACAAGAGAGGATACAGGTTTTGTTGTGGGCCCAGCAGGCGCTGGCCAGAGAGTCTAGACTCCAAATTTGGGCAACAAAAGTTTTTCTCTTTAATGTATTTAGTAAAGAAAAGACATCCAAAGCAGGTGCCTACTACGGGCAATAGGTTAAGCACATTATAACATAACTACATATTTTCTAAGACAAATGAACACAGGAAATCTGCTGCTTTCATCATGCTACTCATCAAAACGTCTCCACATCCAGAATATGGTGATTAATGCCCATGAAGACCTTAAAGGACTGAAATAAACCTAAACGCCATTTGAGTAATCAGAAAGATAAAATTAAGTTCAATATGAATTTAGTTATACCTATTTTTAAATTTGTAACCTAGGTATTATATGTATAAAAATTTCCTATTAGTGGGAAGTACCACTTCTTTATTATCAATGAGTAATAGCATTCTAACAAAAGTCTAGTTAATTTAAAGGTGAGGTTTTTAAAAATTTGGTTTGGTTTTAGATTTCAAATGTGATTTGTTCTAGGCTACTCTTAAATCATCAGTAATATACTTTATTAGGTTCATGGTCACTTTGGGACTCCAGTGAAAATTAAAGGACCTTGTCCCGAGAAAAACCCAATTACACACGAAAGTTTGCTTACAAAGTTAACTAAATTCATAGAAATCCTAAGTAAGAAACCTCTTTGCTTTACAATGCAGACCTGAAAATATGGTCCAGTTTATTTAAAAAGCTGACTGAAACCCACCTTTATAAAAAGACAGGTTCTTTAAAATAATATTAAGCACCTGCCATGTTCTAGGAATTACTGTAAATATTTTATATGTATCAACTTATTTCATTCTCATGTCAATCCCTATGAATAAGTATTTATTCCCAGTTTAATGATTCCCAGATGATGAAACTGAGGCTCGGGAGGGTAAATCATGAATCGAAGGTCATACAACTGGAAAATGGCCGAGCCTAGATTTAAAGCCATGGAGCCTGACTGCAGAACCCATGTGCTTAACCATTCCACTGTCGCTGCCTAGAAAAGCAACATGTATATAACTACATAGGTTTCACCAATCTTGATATACAAGAAATCATAATCAGCACATTTAAGATTTGGAAAAATTTACTCTCCCTTAGAACCACAGCTGCACATAATAGGAAATGCTAAAAAACCAAGATAGGCATTTATAGTTATCAACTTCCTAAAAGTGATTCCCTGGTAACACACAGAGCCTAATTACGACCACCTTTCTTCATCCACATCAGAACTCCAAGTTTTTAATTGTAAGGAATAAAAAAGTACTACTTGTGTTTTTTATTTTTATTCTATTTATTTTGCAGAAGCTTAGGCAATAATTCTAAGAGAAAGTTAACTCACATGTTTGTATCGAGGCTATTATAAATCAACAGGCTGATGAAATCAGCAGTTTTCTAAAAGTTCACAATTCAGTAATTGAGGATTTATCTCTACTTGAATTTCCAGATGCACCTGAATCATACTGAAACATGAACCCGCCTGGACCCTGAAATTACCTTATCTATAAAGAATCTTAACAGACACCCCGAGTAACTGTCAAAAAGGATGAAAGATAGATTTTGATGAAAGCTCTATTTTCATCTGCTAAAACCAGACACCGTACTGTTCAGCTTCGTGACTTTTCCTCAACCCCAAACCTGTATTGGGCAGTCACAGGGTTGAGGAAAGGAGACCCACCTGGATTCGTGATGTTGAGCAGTCTGCAGGAGTAGGGGTCCTCCCGGTCCTCCACAGGCACGTCACAGCCACGAGCACCTATTATGAACTTGACGAGCACACTGAGAGAGGTGTGGCATTAGCACCGGTTACTGATCTCCACCTGGCACATGCACGTTTCCTCACGCCCACCTCAGAACTTTTACTTTGCGACATGGTATTTATTAGGATTCATTCTAACTTTCTTCTTCTAGTCTGGCAAAAAGGGGGAGCAAGCAAACCCAAGGTGCTAACTACCAACTGACCTACGTGTGAGTCCCAAGTCAGGCCACTTACAAGCAAATGGCAGTGAAGTCAGCTTCTCAGGCCCACACCTAACAATGCATCCATATGGTCTGCAATCTCCTCCACTTGCTTTCTTCCATTTGCTCGAGATTAGTCTTTCTTTCCGAGAGGCGGTCCTTGCCTCGGCCTTGCCTCACTGGTTACCTGTAACCTGTAGCTCCTTCCTCACATGCTGTAACTATGATGAAGTCTGACTTTAATTTCCATTAACCCACCGTCCTGCCTTGTTCCCACCCTTTCCTGTGCAGTGGTTCTACACAGGAATTAACTAAATCTGCAGCCTCTGGCTTCTCACTTCCCACTCATTTTATCTAACAGAAATGTTAGCTTCAATGTCCCCCACTTCCTCTGAGATGTCTGCCACCAGTGTAACCACTGATCTACTGCTACACCCACACACCACCCTTTAGCCCTCACTACCTGACTTCTCTCTGGCTCCATTGCACTTGTCTTCTCAAATGCTTTCTTCCTTTTTTTTTTAAAGATTTTATTGGGGAATTGGGGAATGGGAACAGCCAAGTTGTTGTCCTTCAATCTTAGTTGTGGAGGGCACAGCTAGCTCACCTCCAAGTCTAGTTGCCATCCGGCCACCCGTGAGCAGCTCAGGGCAGCTCAGCTCAAGGTGCCATGTCCAATCTTAGTTGCAGGTGGGCTTAGCCACCAGTCCATGCGGAAGTCGAACTGGCAACCTTGTCGTTAGGAGCACATGCTCTCACCAGCTAAGCCATCCTGCCACCTGTTGGCAGCTCAGCAGCAGCTCAGCTAGGGCGCAGCTCACTGGCCCATATGGGAATTGGACCAGTGACCCTGTTGCTCAGAGCTTGCGCTCTTAACCAACTGAGCCACTTGGCCGGCCCGCTTTGTTCCCTCCTTCAGTGAAATGCAAGATTTGAAAGTAAACCATAACCGCAGAAATGCAAATAATTTCTTTTACTAATGGCCAATTGAGGCAGAATCTTTCATAAGCAACTAGTATTTAGAATAAAAGTATAATCAGAAATAAATTTCCTAATTATTGCAGATTTTTTTTAAGTCATCTTAAATAGTCTCACTAGATCCACAAAATTACTCTGCCCCAGGAAGCTGTTTTTGGCTAATATCTATTTTTATACAGATATCCCATCATTTTTATAAAACAAATCACCAAACTTACCAATTTAAAGCAAGAATGCTATGACGGCAAATGAACTACTGGTGATTGTCTGAATGTTAAATTAATTTTACTCATTACATTTAGTTGAGTCATTCCCTCAACAGTTGAGTGCATCACTCTGTACCAAGTTAGGTTCTAGGTACTAGGACTACATCAGTGAAAAAGCTGAAGCCCTTACACTCATGCAACTTATATTCTAGTGGGAAAGACCATTAATAAATATACAACTAAATATAAAACACATACTAGTTGGTGGTAAGCCAAGTAAGGGACGACAGAGATGGAACAGGGATGGGATGCTATTTAATAGGGGGCACCTGCTATGGTGACATCTGCTTAGCAATCTGGAGAAGTGAGTCCTGAGGCTATCCAGTGACAAGTGGTGTAAGCAGGGGAAACAGCAAATGCAAACGCCCTGGGGCAGGAGCACATTTAGTGTATTGAAGCACAGCAAGGTGGCCAGTGAAAGGGACGTATATGGAGATAAGGTCAAAGACCACAAGAAGTCTGAGCAAGAAGGGAAGGCAATCGAGGGATCTGAGCAGAAAGCTGACATAACTAATCTTAAAACGATCGCTCTGGCTGTTGTATGAAAAATAAAATACAGGGAATCAAAGGTAGAAGCAGGAAATTGAAATAAGGAGGCTTCTGCAATCCAGGTAAGCGGTAATGGGCCTAGGCCAGGATGGTGGTTCTGATAGTGGTGAAGTTGGTGAGAAGTCGGATACCGGAAGTGATCTAATGGTAGCACAAAGGGGATATGCTGAGGGACTGGATGTGGCATGTGAGCTCAAGGAGAATCAGAATACTATTACCGTAGTTTAAGTTTATATTTCCACCCTGCCTCAACATACAAACAGGCTGTGTGTGTCCTGTCCAGGTGACCAGTGTGATCAGGCTGGCCCCTGCCACAGGTTCCCCATCCTGCCCTCTTGACTGTGACCTAGTGACATTCAAACGCACCAATGAGATCCCCTATTGCCTTTTGCTTGTACAGTTGTCCCTTGAACAACCTGGGGGTTAGGGGAACGGAGCACTGCACAGTCAAAAACCCGCATATAACTTTGACTCCCCCAGAATTTAACTACTACTTTAGCCTACTATTGACCGGAGGAAGTCTTACTAATAACACAAATATCTGATTAACACATATTTTGTGTGTCATATGTATTACATGTTGTAGTCTTACAATAAAGGAAACTAGAGAAAAGAAAATGTTAAGAAAATCATAAGGAAAATAAATTTATAGTATTATTGAAAAAAATCCACATATGAGTGGACCCACGCAGTTCAAACCCATGTTGTTCAAGGGTCAACTGTATTCTCCACCATGACCCCCAATAAAGGCACTTATCCATGGATCTCCACTCTCTCGGCTCTCGGCTCCCCATCTGCCGGGCCGGGCACGCTCCAGTATGGCCCCCTGCATGGTGTGCTGTACCTCCCTCTCTAGGATCTGTGAGTGTAATACATCCTTTAATTTCATATGCCTCTCCCAGTGCAATTTCTGTGGACATGGTGGATTGATCCTTAAAGACCCCCCAAGGGGGACTTACCCACCCCTCACCCCCATTTATAATACAAACACCAAAGTTTTTGGTGTGAGCGTCTGGAGAGAGGGATCTTTATTCCTGAGCTGGGAAAGACTATGTAGGAACAGCAGGCTTTGGAGGTGGCTCTGATGGTAGACATGATTCTGAGGCCTTTCAGTTGCCGGATAATAGGTTCTACTATCATTGTGATCATGAACTAAAGAAACCTGTCTTAGAAGAAATGAAAGCTGCTCTGAATAAGATAGGAAATCTATAGATGTTCATTGCTGGGACAAGAAAATTCACAACTGCAATTCGCTTTTACAGCTACTCAGTCACAAATGTGACAGTTTAACGCAATCCTGAAGGCCTGCTCTGCTTGTCACCTAAGTGTCTTCACGTTACTCGAAGTCCAGGCTTCCACGCCTCTCTCCCACTAAGGCTCCAGTGCATAATCCTCAGCGGCTGGTCTTGCTGAGAAGACTCAGGCCTTAGGCTCCTAACCAGTAATCAAGCCATCTAATGTCAGCATGAGCTGTGCTACCAAAGCTCAGCCCTGGAAGGGCACGCGCGTATTACACACACTCCAGATTACACAACTAACAAATAACACAGGACTGAAAACATTAAGTGTATCTCTGTGTAGTAAAAAGCATATTTCAACACAATGTGTCTAAGCAGATAACTATTCTGGAGTACAGCCTTTTAAGAACTGCCATTCCAAGTCAAAGGTAAAACAAAAACAAACAACAAAAAAACCCGCAATAAAAATGAGAGATGTATAAATACTAGGTATGTTAACCAATGACTTTATTCTCCCCCAACTATCTTTAAGCTTAAAACTTTGGTTAAATTTACTTTTGGGGCTCAACCATGTGAAGGAAAAGCAAAATGAAACAGCCACTTCTACCTGGAAAAGAGGCCACATGTCTGAATTAACATCTCTGACTATCCATAAAAAGGGTTTTCAGAACTGTTTATTCAGTAAATCAGGCAAGGTGCCAACTCAGAAAACCTACCGTTGACTTAGTGCTGGATGTTGTGTTAAATGCTTCAGCCAGGTGCTTCTTATCACGTTTCGAAGTTCATGGTTATTGCGAGCTGACAACACACCAACTACCACATCATAGTGACTAGATTCCCACTGAGGAAATAAGGTCAATTGATCTAGAAATAAGCAACAATAAACTAGAAATATCAATTACTAAGTTCAATATTTAACATAAAAATGTTTATTACAAAATATAAACATTTGTTCATGTACAGAAAAACAAATACAAAGAAAAAAAATTTTTTTAAGCACCCATAAACCCACCATCCAGAGATAACAATTACTAACGTTTTGGGGTAGTCTTTTTGTCTTCCACACATATGTATGTATTCATACTCACGTAAGTATGTAAATTCTTCACAACAAACAAGATGTTTATGGGAAGAGTCAGTTTAAAAAGACAATGTGGCACAAACCACAGAATAGTGGGCAGGGAGAGTCAACTAGGCCACAGCCAGAATCCTGGCTTTTTCACATTGCATACAAAAGTTATTTAACCTCTTGAGTCTCAGTTTCCTTAACTACAAGTGGGTATAAAATTTGTCCTTAAAAAGAAGACAGAAGGGAAAGATGCTCATATGCTCATAGAGTTGTTATAAAAATTAAATGAGACAATGTGTACAAAGGTCCTAGTTTGGTACCAGGCAAATAGTAGGCATTTGATGGCAACTAACAACAATGGCGATGAAAATAAAGAAAATGTGCTTTCAAAGGTGAAGTCCTGCATTAATATGAGTTATTAGGTTTGAGAGATGATGCTGAAAAACTCCCATCAGGAAGAGCACCAGAACCCTTATTAACGCCAATAAATTCTATAGCCAACAAACCTTTAATCACTTACTATTCTAAAGAATGAGGAGAAGCAACATTTCTAATTAAAAAAAAAATCAAGTGACAAATCATATGAATGGCCCATGTTTTACTGTCATAAGGTTTAATGGGTAGGATTACATTTAAAAATTTGTCCTTAGAAAGAAGACAGAAGGGAAAAATACTCTGTCCCTGTTTTTGTCACCAGTTTCAAAGCTTGAGCGCTACAGGCTTATAAATAGCTCTGATGAGGGATCCAGTTCATCTTTCTTCTATGATGGGAACGGATCCAAAATGTTTCCAAAAATAAATTATTGAAGGCCAGGGATTTACTACATTAAAAGCAACGTTTTTATATGCCATAGGATCTAGGTATTCAGTCAAAATCTTGTACTAAAACGAATTCTTCTATAAAGGCACAATTTATCTTTAATGTTAATCCAAGTTTTCATGGATTAAACTTGATTAACAGGCCATATTTATTGAACACCTACTATATACTATGTATCGAGTGTCATTTAATGCTCACAACTCTAAGAAGTAGATAAAGCTAGGCTCCTTATTAAACAAATGAGGAAACAGACACAGAACTCAGTAACTTCCCCTTAGTCAAAGAGCTAGCAAATGGCGAGGCTAAGATTTGATCCCAGGCAATCTAACACTACTCTTCATCACTATTCTATTCCGTAGCTGTAAAGCTTAATGTAGCTCATCTGAGTCTAAATTCTGATCTTTTACCCACAATATCAAGTCAAGTGGTGACTCAACTGAAAATGCTAGTTAGCACTTTAATTTTTAGAAAATTCATGGCCCAGGAACATTTTTTTCTCAGCTCTATCTATCTATCTATCTATCTATCTATCTATCTATCTAAATATGTAACTATACAATTAAAGTTGTACCTACCAATGGAATTAACTCTAAATGAGTCTAAATGAATAGAATAATTTACATGCGTATGTAAAATTCGTAATGATATCCCATCCCCCTTTTTCACAGAAATATTATTGTAATAGTAAGCACATTTTAGTAACAAGAGGCAAATGGAGTAACCAGACTTATGTGACACCGATTTCATAGTCACCATATCTGATGCTGCATAGTATCAGTAAGAAGTTATTTAAATCCCTTGTGCCTCAATTTCCTAATCAGAGAAAACAGATACCAAAAAAAGTCTTTAGATACTGTATTTCATCAGTTTCAAAATGTCTTCTCAAAGTACTAAATGCTGTAGAAGAGCAAATATCCCATTTAACCTAAATGCCTCATTTATCTGACATCAGAAAACAAGGTTGCTGCACGCAAGTGAAATTTCATAATTGAAACATCCCTTTCAATGTTAAACATCATTACCTTATTTTTGATGGATAATCAAAATAAATCTTTTAGAAATGGATTACACGAAACATAACTTTTTCTTTCTTTTTTTTTTTTTTTAAAGATTTTACTGGGGAATCGGGGAAGGGGAACAGGTAAGTTGCTGTCCTTTTGTTCTTCAGTCTAGTTGTGGAGGACGTCGCTTCACTGGCCCATGTTGGTATTATCATTGTGCTCTTCCCGGCTGAGGCAGTCACTCGCCGGCCATTGGATGGCTGCTCACGGCGGCTCACGAAAGCTCACGCCCGCTGCCCACCAGCCCCACTGCAGCCTACGCCGTCGCTGGCGACTCAAAGCAGCCCAGCTCCAGGTCGAGCTGTTGTTCACCATCTTAGCTGTAGAGGGCGCAGTGTCACTGGCCCTCATGTGGGATCCGAACCAGGGCCCTGCTGCTCAGAGCTGGTGTCCCAAGCCAGCTCCTAACCAATGCGCCACTTGGCCGGCCCGCAACATAACATTTTCTTGATGACAAAAATCTCTATAAAAAATTTCTCAATTCTATCCCTTTCTCGTCATTGATTCTAGCCGCTGCTTCAGTTCAGACTTTTCTCTTCCACTTGGAGCATTACAAGGGTATCCAAATTGTTTCTCCCTGACTTCTCATATCACTCCATATCAAACAAGAGCTTCCTGAAAATAAATAAACACGAAGATAACCACGTGGCATGAGAAAATCTCATAGATTATGGCTGTAAACTACTTCTGGATTTTATTCCACTCAATGCCGCTACCAATCCTCCCTGCTTCTAATCCATGTCTAAGCTGCTTCTGTTGAACTGCTTTACTTTATATGCATTTCTCTTTTTCTCACTGAGGAGATGTTGTACATGGCAGATTTTGGCCTTTTAGAGAACTCCTACTTCCAGATATATTGAAAAATAGGTTTCTAAAGACTCAACCAAAAAACTGTTAGAATTAATAAACAAATTCAGTAAAATTGCAGGATACAAAATCATTTTTGTATACTGACAAAAATCAGGTGCAGCCGTATACATGCACTAAGAACAAATAATCAAAAAAGAAATTAAGAAAAACAATCCTATTTATAAATGTATCAAAAAGAATAAAATACCTCGGAATAAATTTCACCAAGGAAGTTTAATACCTTGGTTAAATACCTAAGAATAAATTTAACCAAAGATATGCACACTGAAAACTATAAGATACTGATGAAAGAAACTGAAGACAAAAATAACTGCAAAGATATTCTGTGCTAATGCGTTGCAAGAATTATTAAAATGTCCATACTATGCAAAGTGATCTACAGATTCAATGCAATCTCTATAAAAATTCCAATGGCATTTTCCACAGAAATACAACCAACAATCCTAATATCTGTATGGAACCACAAAAGACCCAGGAAGCCAAAGCAATCAAAGGAAGAACTTAGCTGGAGGGATCACACTTCCTGATTTCAAACTATATTACAAAGCTATTATAATCAAAACAGTGTGGTATTAGCATAAAAACAGATAGATCAATGAAACAGAATAGAGTTGAGGAAGAAACCCACACATGGTTAATTAATTTACGACAAAGGAACCAAGACTACACAACAGAGAAAGAACAGTCTCTTCAATAAATGGGAAAACTGTGTTGGGAAAACTGGACACCTACATGCAAAATAATTAAAATAGAACACTACCTGACACCATATACAAGATTCAAGCCAAAATTAAAGGTTTGAATGTAAGTCCTAAAACCATAAGACTCTTAGAAGAAAACAGGCAGTAAGCTCCTTGACATTGGTCTTACTGATAATTTTTCTGATTTCATATCAAATGCAGGCAACAAAAGCAAAAACAAACAAATGGGACTATATCAAAATAAAAAGCTTTTACACAACAAAGGAAACCATGAACCAAATGAAAAGGCAACCTACTGAGTGGGAGAAAATATCTGCAGATCCTGTGTCTGATAAGGGGTTAATATCCAAAATACAACCCAAACAATCCTATTGAAAAATGGGCAGAGGCTCTGAATAGACATTTTCCCAAAGAAGACATACAGGTAGCAAAGAGGTACATGAAAAGATGATCAACATCACTCATCATCAGGGAAATGCAAGTCAAAATAACAATGAGATGCCACCTCACACCTGTTAGAATGGCTAGTATCAAAAAGACAAGAAATAATAAATGTTGGCGAGGATGTAGAGAAAAGGGAACACTCGTGCACTATTGGTGTGAATGCAAAATGGTGCAGCCACTATGGAAACCAGTATGGAGGTTCCTCAAAAACTTAAAAATAGGGGCCAACTGAGTGGCTCAATTGTTTAAGAGTGCGACCTCTGAGCAACACTGTCGCCGGTTCAATTCCCACATGGGCCGGTGAGCTGCGCCCGAGCTGAGCTGCCGCTGAGCTGCCAACAGGTGGCAGAATGGCTCAACTGGTGAGAGCACGTGCTCCTAACAAGGTTGCCAGTTAGACTCCCTCATGGGATGGTGGGCTATGCCCATCCGCAACTAAGATTGAACATGGCACCTTGAGATGGCGACTGGACTTGGAGTTGAGCTAGCTGTGCCCTCCACAACTAAGATTAAAGAACAACAACTTGGCTATTCCCCTTCCCCAATTCCCTACCACTGTTCCCTTCCCCAATTCCCCAATAAAATCTTAAAAAAACGAAAACTTAAAAATAGCAATTTCATAGGTTCCAGCAATTTTATTTCTGGGTATTTATTTGAAGGAAACAAAAGCACTAACTTGAAAAGATATATGCACCTCCATGTTCCTTGCAGCTTTATAATAGTCAAGACATGGAAATATATTGTCCACCAATGGATGAATGGATAAAGAAAATTCGTTATATATACATATTGGAAAATTATTCAGTCAAAGAACAGAAGGAAATTTTGCTATTTCCAACAACTAGGATGGACCTTGAAGGCATTATGCTAAATGAAATAAGTCAAACAGAGACAACTAA